TAATGAACGTTGTTCTTCCTTCCAGTAACTACATGTTACTGCCATTCCCTTTTTGGGAAAATTTTAATCGATCTCCCTACATCCACTGGTCCTTGTTGCATATTAGTTCACTTTCTTTGGTACTGTTTACAGCTACTTTCGCGAGCTGTGTGTAGGTTAGTTACAATATCTGGCTTTTTTCCGACCATCTTGAATATTGTGTCTCTGCGGTCCAACTCTCAACCAACGGTTTTCAAAAAAACACTATTTTCTATAAGCTGCATCCTTTTGTGTAGAGATATTTCGGTATTGAATAGAGTTTTATAGAATTAAAACGTTTCTTAACAAATTGTGTGGTTGGAAAATCAGCGTCGTGTGTCTTGCAAGCTTTCTACATTTTTACTTTTATTTTTTTTGTGGGTTGGAGTTGCATTAACTGTGTGGTCGCCTAGCTGCCTAGCTGCTTCCCAAGAACCAGTTTGGGAACTTCTAGTTGCTATGCTGGTTTGGTCCGACAGTTTAGCAGTTGAATACTCTTGTTAGCGTGATTAAGATACATCAGCTAGTTTCAATGCTTATTACTTCCGGAGAGTATGCCATGCAGGGATTATTATGAAACATTTGATACATCTATACCTGTTTTTCCAAGACATTTTTTAACTTAAAAGGGTTTAATATCAGTGCATTTGCGCAATGAAATCATGTTTCACTACTTCCCTTGGATCTTGCCTTCTATTTAAATACCTTCGTTATTTACATATTGTCGTCTTTTGAAGTCGGCAGTTGGAATTAAAAACGGGTTTCGCAACATGTAATTGTAATGCAGTTATACCGATGCGCTGAACCACCAGATTCTACCATATGCTTATGGCGACATGTTGCGCGCTGTATTTTGTCTCAAATATTTGTTGATTTCTTGGAAAACGGCTCTAAAATTGGAGTTATGCCTAAATTTTCACCTTTTGGCAAATGGCCTGTAGTAAAATGTGGAAGTAATACGAACAAAAACATTTGCCGATTTAACGTTTATTGTATATTCTACTTGCGATGTCTTATAATGGGCCGAAAATCTCGTCAAAGTGTTGCCACATTCTTGGTCTTATACAAATCCTGTCTAAATATATGAGTAAATTTGTGCTATCCCGATTTTATCCTGGTTAGTAACTTTTAAGAACAAAAATACAGCTAAGCGAAGCACTAAGGCTCTTTTTATTATGTCTACACTCATGCTTTCTTCTGATCGTCAGTAATACTGAAAGTTTTTTGACACTTATTAATAGTTTAATTTTCATTTTTTAAATTTTTTTAGGGACTTATCTAAGTGAAGAAAAAAGATGTCAACCTCTTCCAGTCAACCGAAGATCGCCGAACGACTTTCGATTCTTAATCGTCGTCAACTTGGCGTTCTCAGTCGACTTCACTTTATGAAAACCATTCTTGCTGATTCCGAAACCCGTTATCCATTTCTGCCCGGTGGTGATAAGGCATTTGATAATGCGTGGAAGGTTCTGTTAAAAAAGTTTCCCAACCTTGACTCCCGGTCTAATTCGTCCACACTGAGTATATTTTGCAATCAAAAGGAGATTTTCAAACAGGCTTCCCTTCTATATTACAACTTTGTCGATGTGCTGGAAGTGAAAGATAATGTTTTGGACTTATTACAACGAATCGCCCTTGCTGGAATTCGTCTTGAAATAACCATCAATTCAGATTTAACTTACCTTTATCTTGAACTGACTACAAATTACTTCGCGATCATGTATTTTCTCACTCGCATTCCTGATCTCAAAGCTATTCTCATGCTCTTTAATTTCCTGTTTGAACAGGTCAATGGTAAGCCTGAGCCGAATTTCGCGCGTATGGCAGAGCGCTTTGCCGATCCCCCAGAAATTTTGTTAAAACACCTCCTTGAGGAGTTTAAACCTCACGCCCCTGTCCTCTCAGTTGCCCTGGCCTCTTTGAACGACTTCTTTATTCGGCGGACAGTACGTGCTCAGAATTGGCGCGACAGCCTTTTTCTCAATGTTCTCGCCGAACCGCGAAAAATCACACACACCGCACTGAGCGATCAGCTGGCCTGTGAGTTACTCCCGTATGAGGTGATGGAACGCTGGGTAATCTTCGGCTTCCTGTTAGTCGGCCCCTCATCTTCAGGAGATCCTGACGATGCCTTCGCTCGTGTTCGTCTTGCACTTCGTAATAGTTATGTAGTTGTTCTTTTTCGTGATGAAGTAATTCACGTTCACAACCTTTTGACAACTTTTTTTGAATCTGTTTGGGCCGGAAAGTCGTCTTCCAAGCGCCTCTCTGAAATCAAGGAAGCAATGTCGATCGCATATTCTCAGGCTCCTGCAGCTCATTCGGACAGGAGAGCTTACCTACGCTCTGCCTTACGACAGCTCCATTCAGTCTTGTATGATCAGCCTGGACTTCTTGGTCCAAAAGCTTTTATTGTCTTCTGGGGACTCTCATACGCGACCGACGAAATTCATTGGCTTCTTCGCCACTCCTGCAATGTATTGCCAAAAAAGAATGTTAACACCGAGGAATTCGCTGACGTCGCTCTACCCGAATTGCTCTACTACGTTGAAGACCTTCGTCATTTAGTGAGGCGGTACGCCCCTATCATCCAACGTTTTCATATTCAAATGCTTCCATCCTACGACGTTCCTGGGCTGGAAGAATTTCTGCGCCCTTCTCTTCCTTTCCTTCCTACGGAAGAAGTAAATATCTTTAATGATATGTTGGCACAATTGCGAGATGTTGAGAATTTGCTGACATCTAATTCCCCTCGGCACTGCGAATTTACAAGCCTTCGTCTGGACTGGCTTCGATTGCAAGCTGTTCTCTCTGCCAAAGATGCACCACTTGCACTGTCTAATTGCCGTCGTCTAGCAGAACACCTCCACTCCACAATCTTCCACACTCGATTAGTCGATCAGATTGACGATCTCCTTCGCCAGGTCTCAGACCTCTCAATTTTTTATTTCTATTGGAACAAATTGGAAGAAGTGTTTAATCACAGCCTCGTCTATCCATCCCAGTTACGTTACTCAGGCGTGTTTCCTACGCTTTGCTCCTGCTTTGTCAACACCTGTCACGAGATGTGCCCCAAGGAACGTTTTATAGTCGGCCGGGCTGCTGGAAATTTAGCTCGCCGATTCTGTCGAAAGCTTGTAGATGCAATATGTACCGCCTTCTTTACTCGACTAGAAGAAGTTTGCTCTTTTGCTGAGCAACTGGCGCCCCAAAACAGTGTACCCTGGCTGATCGAGGAAAAGTTGATTAAAAAGAAGGTTGCAGAGAATAATGGAACCATAAAGAAGAACAAGACCGGACTTTCGGGTAGTCAGACTCCATTTGTGGCCGTAGTGCCCGGAACGGAGAGTTTTCGACGAGATCGTGTTAATCAAACCTTGCACGACAAAACCCTCTTTACCCTGTCACAGCTCTGTGCGGCACTTACTTTTCGACGAGAACTGCACGCATTCGAGGAAATTTTTGATCCGCGAACTGTCCTTCAAACTGAGTTGCAAATGCGTTTATTCGAGTATCTGCGCCCCATGGTAAACGTTGTGTAAGTCTTAACTGCTTTTTTTAAATCTCCGTTTCCCCAGAATTCATCTCGAAATCAGGGAATGTAATTTGTTTGACATAAGCTTAAAATTTTCCCCTATCGAAACTGAATTCATTGCATGTTGATTTCGTTTGAATGATTTGATTAATTGCATGTAATTAATTCTAGAGAGGTGTTTACCACATGCTCCGATTCTTAGGTAGTGTTTTATTTTCGTCAGACCGGACATGATTATAATGTTGCAAGTGCAATTTTTGAAGTAACGTTAGCTGGGGAGATGTAAATGCTGAACTCCATGGTAATGTAAATAAAGACTGATAAGTATTCATCTTATTCATTCAGAGCTGGAATTTCTGTTGTGGTCAGGTTATTTTCATTTTTTGTTACATTGGATAATGTAGAAGTTTCACAATGGTGCAGAATCATCGATGCACTGCTGAGCAGTCAATTTCATTTCATGAGTATCGTAGTTTCGAATTTTTTGCCTTACCTATAGCTGACAGTCGTGAAATCGACTGGTCATGTGTTAAGGTAACTTCCTGCACGTGTTCGACGAACCAAAATGGATAAGCAAGCGCTTCTTCAATCCGACGGCAACACTTCTTTATCTGTGGTCCTCAGGACAACCGAGTGTGCTGCTATGCTTTACAAAAAATCGGTCTGTGTCACCTTTTAGTTTAGTTTCTGAAAAAGGGGAGAAAAACATCATCTCAATGTCGTTTTCCTGATATATCGAGATTGCAACAGTTGGTGCTCGGTTTTGATAGCTGGCAAAAGCACACACTTTTGTCTGCGCTGATGTTTCTTTTTTAATCATATTAACGGACACCCACGTAAATGCGTACTGAATGAGCACAACTTTAATGCGTTAACTTAATTCTTGGACAGTGTTAGTAGTTCAAACAAAAAAAGAGGTTAAATTTTCGTCATTATGCTATATGAGTTTGAAAAAGCAATTAGTGTTGAAACTGCAACAAATATTCAAAGCGTTTATTTGGATTATGATCCTTCTCTTCGAACAACCAAAAAGTCGATCGGATCTCGAAATGGAAGCTTTAGTATAACCGACAAACCATCCCGTGTGACCCTTTGGCGTTGGTGACCTTGTCTGTGGTTTGGTGAATTATAATCATCGAATCACCACTTAGGAGATTGTTTGGAAACTAAATGCTTAAGACAACTGGGATACAAGTTGATTTATGGGATATATGGGTCATGCGATTTTGACTGAACCATGTTTTCACCGCCACCTCTCTCCCAATCCGTCATCAAACCGAACCTTTCACGGATCAAGCCATAATTGAAGATGAAAAATGGTTTGTGTATAACAACATAATAAGGAAAGTAAGGTAGGAGCATGAGGGTGAACGAACAGAATTTATTGTAATGGCTAGTTTGCATTCGGTGAAGTTGTCAAGTGTCTGGTGGTGGTAGGACAGAGAAATACTTTTCGCGAGCTTTTTCCATATGGCCAAACAGTAACTTCGAAGTAGTGTTGTTGACAGCTTGTCCAACTCAATTTTGAAGTCCAAGCAAGGCGTATAATTTTGGTCAGTCGTTAAAATAAATGCCGCTTCACAGAAACTACAAAACTTAGGGGTTTAATGTGGTAAGTCCCCCAGCAGCAACTGATGTGTTTCCCCGGCCTCGCCTCTTCAGATCTTCATCTATTGCCTCTTCAAGATATCTGGAATAGCAGCACATTTGATTCTGTAGAAGAAATTGAAGATAACCTCGCGACCTTTTTAAAGAGAAGTCACACAAGTTTTACAAACCATTAATTCCAATCCTTGTAAAACGTTGGGGGCCAGTTTTTGAAGATGGTAGATGAGACGTTATTGATTAATGAGGTATAATTTTGTGAAAATGTGTTGCTTTTAACTTAGTTTCAAGTCAAGCATGTAATTTTGGTAGTCATTCCGTAAATAGAACTATCTGCAATTCAGAAAACCAAAAATTGTTTCCTTTTGTGTCATATCTCCATTTGACTATTGTACATTCTTATCATGCGTGTAAAAATGCGCTACTACAGGTGGGGGGCCATTTTTATCGTTCGGGATTATTAAGTTACCAACACGGAATATTTGTTTTTTGATTTTACTCGCAATTTCCTTGTTGTGTGAGTCATGCAGCGACATTAAAGTTCAGTGACGAGGCTTACGTGGCTATCTAGTCTCCCTGCTTTGAGAAGATTTGCGTAGAATTGTTTTCTGGAGCTTAACATTGGTACGAGAGTGAATAGTCATGTAAGTTGCGACGGACCTCTATGCCATACTGCCTTACCTGAAACATCACTTTAATTCTTAGGATGTATGGTTCGTACTGTCCCAAAGTGGATGCTTATTTTAACTAAGTTACGGGTGAGAGCTTGAAACAATTCTCATGCAGTATCGAAGCCACATCGGCGCCTAGTTACTGATGTCGCAAAAACCATCATTTGTGTAAACCACGCTAAATCCATGGAATTCGCCTCATTTAATTCCGGATACATGTCGCCTGGATGTAAAAGTAACTAATTGCGGTTTAATTTTAAAAAATCTATTTTTAAATGATAAATGTTTGTGATCACTTATAAACATCATCGAGCGTCGTTGCTTGTATTAATCCCAGTCGTCGTAGATGTGTAAGTGAGTGGGATTTCGTAATAGGATAGACTTTACACAAACAATTCAACACTGCATCAAATATACATCTGCAAGGGGTGTTGGATTACCAAAAGATCCACTAATAATCAACTTTTTTCACGTTTTGCGTTTCTTATGTGCACGTGAGTCACCTTTAAATGCCGTTGCGCGTTTTTACCGGGTGTACACGCTCTTGCTACCCTCGCCTGCTTTCGCAGCTTCCTTCATGGGTTTTCTACGTGGGAGTGATGTGGCCTAGATGAACAGTCAATGTTTTTCCCTAATTAGCATTCCACTCTTATGGATTCATATATCAAACCCTAACTCAACTGTGCCCACCTGTGTTGTTTAGCAAACTAAATCCCTTGCTTTATCTTCGTGGACTGCCAGTGTACATGTGTTCTTTTCACATGTTCATCGTGTATCAATGAGAAATTCAACAGCCTAATAGTTTTTCGATTCTTTAATATTGTTCATTTGTGTACTCGAAAGGCTTTGCAATGACCGAGTCATCGTTTCTATTAGATGTTCTTTCTATGTCTCAACTTTGAATAAATTGACCCACGGTGACAGCGATACCTGTGACCTCCTCCTCATTCTCCTTTACTCCAAGTGTATATTAGTTTTTACTGTAGAGACCAAATTGTTTTTCTACTTTGTGGTTTCTTTATTCTTTTTCCCCTGTAGTCCGCGTATATTACATTTACCGTCCTTATTTCGCCCTTTTCATTCTTCACCTTCAAAACCTGTGGATAATTTCTCAGATAAAATGCATTCTTGATCTATTACTTATAATTTTGGTTGTCCCACATGGTTGACCACTTAATCGGGTTTACTAAGTCACTTTAGGCCCTCGAAGTGACGGGAGTATATGGGTCTTAAGGGACGTGTTTGTGGAAATCGTACACTATCTTGTTTTTGCAAAAGCTTTGTAAGAACGATCTAAAAGCATAGGTTTGTGTGACCAAAGTTCATTTTAGGTGGCCAAAGTTCAGCATCAAAATATTGTCCTTACCACTTGCTGATTTGAAACGTCTTTCTGATTGGTCGACTTACATAGCTTAGTTTGAGATTTTTCTGCCAAGCAAATCACCCATTTTCTAATGTGCCATCGTTGGCAAAATTCGCTCAACTCAAACCCGAGTGACACCATACCTTTATCCTTCATCCGTTTTCAACAGTCCCACTGGTCCTGTGGACAAATCAGAGATTGAGATCCGTCGTTTGGTCAAGCCGTCTGATATGCTGCGCAGAGCTCGTGCCATCATGGAGGTGCTCGTTGACCTTGAGGATCTCGTGCGCATCGATGTGGTCGCCATCTTTAGTAGTGTGTTTGAACAACACACACAACCAAGCAGTGACACTTCGAAGGTTAGTTCTTTGTACTTTGTTCCGACTAATTTGCGCATTTTTGCGGTGTTGGGCAGGGATACGATGGATGCAAATTTCAAAACCTCGTTTATAGCTTCTACAATAGTTCAGTTTCCGTCATGGGTCTTGTGATGAAGTGTCAACAACATGTACCAAAACAACTTGCTTAGTGTGGATTTACATGAGCACACAACTTACAGTCGACCTGGGCAGGGGAGGCGGCGTTGAGTTCGAATGTACCCAGCAAGTCGTTCACAGCGTTCTCTCTGGCCGTCTGCCTGTTAATCATATTTCATCCCTTATTACCTTCAATGAATTTTACTGAGGTTACAGCAGAATGCGGAGAGATTCAACCCACGTATGAACCTATCCATGCGCGCCGTCACTCAGTCACTTCCTTATGAGAGCA